TCAGTAACAATTCTGTCTGTCCCTGAGTAAAATTCTGTGGCCCTAATTAAAGTGTTTCTGTGGCCCTGAGTAACAATTCTCTGGCACTCAGTAACAATTCTGTCTGTCCCTGAGTAACAATTCTCTGGCACTCAGTAACAATTCTGTCTGTCCCTGAGTAACAATTCTCTGGCACTCAGTAAACAATTCTGTCTGTCCCTGAGTAAATAATTCTGTGGCCCCTCAGTAACAATTCTGTCTGTCCCTGAGTAAACAATTCTCTGGCACTCAGTAACAATTCTGTCTGTCCCTGAGTAACAATTCTCTGGCACTCAGTAACAATTCTGTCTGTCCCTGAGTAAAAAATTCTGTGGCCTAATAAAGTTTCTGTGGCCCTGAGTAACAATTCTCTGGCACTCAGTAACAATTCTGTCTGTCCCTGAGTAACAATTCTCTGGCACTCAGTAACAATTCTGTCTGTCCCTGAGTAACAATTCTCTGGGCAACTCTCAGTAACAATTCTGTCTGTCCCTGAGTAACAAATTCTGTGGCCCTAATTAAAGTTTCTGTGGCCCTAAGTAACAATTCTCTGGCACTCAGTAACAATTCTGTCTGTCCCTGAGTAACAATTCTCTGGCACCACTCAGTAACAATTCTGTCTGTCCCTGAGTAACAATTCTCTGGCACTCAGTAACAATTCTGTCTGTCCCTGAGTAAAAATTCTGTGGCCCTAATTAAAGTTTCTGTGGCCCTAAGTAACAATTCTCTGGCACTCAGTAACAATTCTGTCTGTCCCTGAGTAACAATTCTCTGGCACTCAGTAACAATTCTGTCTGTCCCTGAGTAACAATTCTCTGGCACTCAGTAAACAATTCTGTCTGTCCCTGAGTAAAATTCTGTCTGGCAAGTAACAATTCTGTGGTCCCTGAGTAACAATTCTCTGGCACTCCGTAACAATTCTGTCTGTCCCTGAGTAACAATTCTGGCCCTAATAACTAATTTCTTTGTCCCTAAGTAAAATTCTGTGGCCCTCAGTAACAATTCTGTGTCTGTGCGAGTAACAATTCTGTGGCCCTAAGTAAAATTTCTGTGGCCCTAAGTAACAATTCTCTGGCACTCTCAGTAACAATTCTGTCTGTCCCTGAGTAACAATTCTCTGGCACTCAGTAACAATTCTGTCTGTCCCTGAGTAAAAATTCTGTGGCCCTAAGTAAAGTTTCTGTGGCCCTGAGTAACAATTCTCTGGCACTCAGTAACAATTCTGTCTGTCCCTGAGTAACAATTCTCTGGCACTCTAGTAACAATTCTGTCTGTCCCTGAGTAAAAATTCTGTGGCCCTAAGTAAAGTTTCTGTGGCCCTGAGTAACAATTCTCTGGCACTCCGTAACAATTCTGTCTGTCCCTGAGTAACAATTCTGTGGCCAAACTAACAGTTTCTGTTGTCCCTAAGTAACAATGTTGTGGCCCTGAGTAACAATTCTGTGTCTGTGCGAGTAACAATTTGTGGCCCTAAGTAACAGTTTGTGGCCCTCAGTAACAATTCTGTGTCTGTGCGAGTAACACATTCTGTGTGTCTGTGCCTGAGTAACAATTCTCTGGCCCTAAGTAACAGTTCTGTGGCCTCAGTAACAATTCTGTGTCTGTGCGAGTAACAATTCTGTGTCTGTGCGAGTAACAATTCTGTGGCCCTAAGTAAAGTTTCTGTGGCCCTAAGTAACAATTCTCTGGCACTCAGTAACAATTCTGTCTGTCCTGAGTAACAATTCTTGGCACTCAGTAACAATTCTGTCTGTCCCTGAGTAAAAATTCTGTGGCCCTAAGTAAAGTTTCTGTGGCCTGAGTAACAATTCTCTGGCACTCAGTAACAATTCTGTCTGTCCCTGAGTAACAATTCTCTGGCACTCAGTAACAATTCTGTCTGTCCCTGAGTAAAAATTCTGTGGCCTAATTAAAGTTTCTGTGGCCTCTAAGTAAAAATTCTCTGGCACTCAGTAACAATTTTGTCTGTCCCTGAGTAACAATTCTCTGGCACTCAGTAACAAATTCTGTCTGTCCCTGAGTAACAAATTCTGTGGCCCTAATAACGTTTCTGTGGCCCTAAGTAACAATTCTCTGGCACTGAGTAACAATTCTGTCTGTCCCTGATTATGAATTCTGTGGCCCTAACTAGCGTTTCTTTGTCCCTAAATAACGATTCTGTGGCCCTCATTAACAAGTCTGTGTCCCTGAGTAATGGTTCTCTGTCCTAAGTAACTTTTCTCTGTCCCCAATTATCGTTTCTGTGGCCCTAACTCTGTCCCTGTCCCTAGTACAGAGCGGTCTGCCTCTGTTCAATAATGCAGGCAAATGAAGAATTCCAAAATGGCCGCTATTTATAGCTCGGCACCATTACACAGTGCTGGCTGGCTGGCTGCTGATAGGCTGATGCGATCACATGTAGTTGAGGAATGCTTATGGGTCAGCGCGCCTTGTCTGCGCGCCTTCCCAGACATCCCCGCTCCGTCGCCGCACATTGTCAGCCGCCATTTCTGAAAAATTTCGATTCGCGCGTCCGAATTAGGCTATTTTTCGGATTCGGCACGAATCGAAATTTTTTCCGATATTCGACTCGAATTCCACTTCGGATACTTCGATTCGCTCATCTCTACCCGACATCATAGCCCAGTGGGAGCCGGTGAGTGAGAGTTGGGGTGAGGGGGGGCGCCTGTGGATCAGGGCCCCCTTCCCGGAAAAGTGACCATCCCCCCGGCCTGTCGGACCCCCCCCCACGCAGACCCGGGCCTACAGCGTGCAATAAAGGCCTAGAGGCACTGCCTACTATACAGGCCTCACTAAGCCCCAAACAGGGCGCCATCAGGCCCACAGGCCCACACCAACAACTGCATCCCTGCAACTGAGAAACAAAGAAGGGGCCTACTGCATCCCCCTTGGGGACCCACTGAGTTATACTCAGTGGAGGGGGAATCAGATGCCAGCATCAACTCGACCTGCTGACCTCCGCATTTGTCCTGAGACCTCCACTGGGGCCTTTAATTACGCGATCTGAGAGATCTTTTTTACAAGTTTATATTTACTCTGGGGTCAGGATCAGGCCAGAGAATATGATGGCTAGTTGTCAGGAGCCAACACAAGGAGGTGGATTAAAATTGATACTTATCTAGAAGAGACATACCGCCGCTATGGGGAAAAGCGGATAGGAAATCACTACTCCAAACGTTCCAGGTGATCTTCGGCCTAATGGTTATACAAAATCGCAGAATTATACGGAGTTATTCCAGTCCCCAGACACCAGATCACGTAGAGGTTTCTGACCCTGCGTCTCCCACACACCCGCGTCACAACACGCTTCCTGCGCAAAACAGGACACCAGCCATACCACTCATGGTATGTCCTGATACATCACCTCTCACTGTCGAGGACTTGAAAGGGGTTGCATCAGATATTAAAGACACCCTCGCTGCTGCAATAGCAGATTTACATATCGACATGCAGGCCACGGTAGCCAAACGGCTTGAAAGCGATGGAGGATAAAGTTATCTCCAAGACCTTGCCATTCATGATATGGCACGCTGATAGATACCACATGCCATACATCTCAGAGAGCTTGATCACCACATCGAAGACCTGGACAACAGAGGTCGACGTCATAATTTGAGGGTCTGAGGTGTCCCTGAAAGCAATAGAATCCAGTCAACTCACCCAAACTCTCTTAATCCATTTTCAATGATCTATTAGAAAGACCGCAAGAATCTCCTATTGAGTTTGAATGCCCTCCATAGGGCGCTGCGTCCGAAGGGTAGAGAATTGATCCCCCGAGAGACATAATTTGCTGTTTAGTTGATTTCCGTCTTAAGGAGGAAAATATTATGTAAGAGCGCGGGAGCGCAACACCACTGCTATATATGGTGCAGATATAACAATTTTTTCAAGACTTATCTCATCTTACCTTGCAAAACCACGGAAAGATTTACTGGACCTCCTACGTTCAAGGGGTATTGCCTACCGCTGGAGATTCCCATTCGGCCCCCCTCAGCAACACCACATGGGGAGAGATCGGCGTCCTGAGATTCCGGAGGATGTAGCACCATTTGCGAGGCCCTTGGCCATTCCAACTCGAGTGGATATACCAAATTGGTCTGGAGACTCCAAATCCCACCCCAGGACACAGAGAAGAACCCGATGGAGGCCCACTCGGCTGGTCTTCATGGAGGAACAAGGTGTCGCAGATTATTCCACCGCACCTTGTCCTCTCCTGTAAGCCGCAGGCTCAACATTGGGGACAATCTTCCAACCATTCCCAACCTCTCCTGCTCACCGTAAGGCACGTCATGACTGAACACTTTTCTTTTCACCTTTCTCACCACCACCCGTGCATTATAGTTTAGTCACTTAATGGCTTTCCCCCGCAACGGGGCTATGATTTCTTCTACTGCTCCATTTCATATGTGAAGTGAATCCCAACCACCTAGAGACATAACGCTAGGGTATGTGTGTTCCATCAGACTGTCCTCTCCTGCATGCACAACTCTTTGCTTAAGGTATGTGTACACCGATTCTGTCCGTGGACACCGAGTGACCATAACGGCGCTCGCTTGTTCTGCGAGCTGTAGGATAGCAGTGCCCAAACTAACCAACTTTGAAGTTTGTAAGATTGGTCAATGATGACCTATCACGCTATGCTGGTGACCTGGGCTGCGAAAGCAACATGTTACGGTTTTGAGGTCCAGTGACCTGAATCACTGAATCTAACCATATTTAGCATTTGGCTCCCTAGCTTGGGCATGTTAAAATAAATATGCCTCATTTCACGAAAGTTCCTACCACTGCATACCAATTCTTTAAACAAAACGAAATATCCAGGTAAAGGTATCTCTACCTTTTACACACAAATAGTAGATTCACAATTTACCCTACAAACTTCCTACTGATTCGGCGAATTCGTGGAAAAATTCGATTCGAGTCGAATATATTCGCTGCGAATTTAACTTATAAAAAGGGTGTTTCTAGGCTTCAGAGAGCCTTTATATTAGTGCAGAACACTGTACCTTTAATTTAAATGCCCTTGGAGTCTGCTGCTGGGGAAGAGAAATAATACTGACAGTCAGTATATGACATGCAGATGAGTGCCGTCGATCTTAGAATCACCGCACACTTCACTCATTTGGGCAGTCACGGGGCCAAAACCAGAGTGTGGAGCCACAGTGTGGCGGTGGAGGCAGCAGCAATGGGAGGCCATACACACCCTATGACAAAAATGGAAACCACCAGCAGTGTGAGGAGACCTGAAAGTGGCACATGCAGAGTGTGGCAATGGAGACAGCAGCAATGGGGGGCCGTACAGGGACCCATGACACACTCTGGACCTGGCAGCAGCATGAGGAGGCGGTACAGGGGCTCATGACAGATTACGGGCCTGGCAGCAGCATGAGGAGTCGGTAACGGGGCCCATGACACACTCTGGACCTGGCAGCAGCATGATGGGAGGCGGTACAGGGGCGCATGACAGATTACGAGCCTGGCAGCAGCAACTTGGACAGTGGGACGTTCACTTCTGCACCGTCGGGTGCGTGCTCGCAAACTGTTGTCTCTTGGAAAGGATTCCAAGACAAGACTATAATATATATTAGAGCTAGGTAGGGAGGTTGGAAGTATTTAGAAGCAAATTGAAGGACCTGAATATGCACCAGCATGGAAATCTGTCCCGGTCCTGGCCCAGTGACTAGATCTGCCCTGAGAGTGGAGGAGCGGTACATGGGGCCCATGAACAGCTTTTTTGGCCCTGGTAATCTGAAACCAGCAAATCCTATACAAAAAACACATTTGAACAACCAATGCAAATGTGAAAACGGAGACCTGAAAGACTGCTGACGGAATCCGTGGCCAGGAGTAGCAGGCGAAGAGCATCTGAGCAGCGCAATATGCCAGGCAAGCGACAACAGGGGCCCATGACAGATTACGGGACCTGGCAGCAGCATGAGGAGTCGGTACGGGGGCCCATGGCAGATTAGGGGCCTGCAGGCAGCAGCTATGGGAGGCCCGTAATCTGCCAGCACCCTATGACAAAAAAATGGAACAACACCAGCAGTGTGAGGAGACCTGAAAGTGGCACATGGCAGAGTGTGGCGATGGAGACAGCAGCAATGGGAGGCCGTACAGGGACCCATGAGAGACTCTGGACCTGGCAGCAGCATGAGGAGGCGGGTATATAGGGGCCCATGGCAGATTAGGGGCCTGGCAGCAGCTGTATGGGAGGCCCGTAATCTGCCAGCACCCTATGACAAAAAATGGAACACACCAGCAGTGTGAGAGGACCTGAAAGTGGCACATGGCAGAGTGTGGCGATGGAGACAGCAGCAATGGGAGGCCGTACAGGGACCCATGAGAGACTCTGGACCTTGGCAGCAGCATGAGGAGGCGGTATAGGGGCCCATGGCAGATTAGGGGCCTGGCAGCAGCTATGGGAGGCCCGTAATCTGCCAGCACCCTATGACAAAAATGGAACACACCAGCAGTGTGAGGAGACCTGAAAGTGGCACATGTTTGGGGCATGATTCATGGCGGATTTAGTCAGTTGTGTCAGGAACTGGTGGTTTTTAAATCCAGACTAATCCACGCCTGATTCATTTTCACAAACGTGAGTCTCTCCAACACTTTGGGTGGACAGTCGTGTCCTCCGCGGAGTTACAATACCTCCAGCCGCACTAAACACGCGCTCCGATGCACACGCTACTGGCCGGGCATGACAGCTTTCAAGGGCAAATTCAGCTAGTTGGGGCCAAAGGTCAAGTTTCGTTGCCCAGTAGTCAAGGGGATTGTCTACCTCGGTTGGCAGGGTGCTGTCCAAGTAGGCCTAAGCCTGTTGTTTGAGGTCCTGCTCCAGGTCCACCTATGCTGCATGCTGCTGCTGCTGCAAAATGGTTAGTAGTTTCCTCACTGCGCTGGTGAAGAAAGCTACTCATCATCGAACTGCAGACTGAGGCAGCACCGCTGCTGGTGGAGCTGCCACTGCTCCTACCACCCCACCCCTCCCCTGCTGCCATGGCAGCGGAACGCGCTGAGCGCACAGGGCCCACAGTGTCTGAGGATGGACGTTGGCGCACAAAGGCAGAGACCAGCTGACTACATAGGTGGTTTTTATAGTACGTTATTTTGGCCTCCCTCTCAGCAGGTGTGAAAAAGGCCACCATTTTTGAACGGTAGCGAGGGTCCAACAAGGTGGACAGCCAAAAGTCATCCCTCTGTCTGATGGTTATTATTCGGCTGTCGCTACGCAAGCAAGCGAGCATGCTATGGCCATTTGTGCCAAGGAATGCAAGGGACTCCCTGCCTCCATCTCCACAGCATACTGCCACGGTGCGTCTGGGTCCTCTGTCTCCTCCTCCTCCTCCTCTACCAGATGCTCCTGCTCCTCCACTCCTGTCCGCTGAGTGGAAAAACCACCCATTTCACTCAATAATTCCTGAGCACCAATGTCCTCCTCTACCTCCTCCTCTTCTTCCTGTCCTGCCCCCACAGGGGTCATGTGGCGTTGAGATCTGTGCGCCACGTCTACCGCACCCTGACCAGCCATTGTTAACAGCATTTGTTCCAGGACGTGCAACAGAGGAATGACGTCGTTCATCCCATAGTCCTGCCGACTCACGAATAGCGTGGCCTCCTCAAAGGCCTGAGCAAGCGCAGGTGTCACGCATGAGCTGCCAATGGCTGACATCTAAGTTACACAGGGAGTACCTTTATCCGCTTTTAACATCAGGAAATCTGTGATGGCCTTTTGCTGTTCGTAAAGGCGGGTCTCTAACATATGTAGGGTTTGAATTCCACCTTGTTGCAACGTCACAGCATGAGGAGTCGGTACGGGGGCCCATGGCAGATTACGGGCCTGGCAGCAGCAATGGGAGGCCCGTAATCTGCCAGCACCCTATGACAAAAAATGGAACACACCAGCAGTGTGTGGAGATCCTGAAAGTGGCACATGGCAGAGTGTGTGGCGATGGAGACAGCAGCAATGGGAGGCCGTACAGGGACCCATGAGAGACTCTGGACCTGGCAGCAGCATGAGGAGGCGGTATATAGGGTGGGGCCCATGGCAGATTAGGGGCCTGGCAGCAGCTATAGGAGGCCTGTAATCTGCCAGCACCCTATGACAAAAAATGGAACACACACCAGCAGTGTGAGGAGACCTGAAAGTGGCACATGGCAGAGTGGGCTATGGAGACAGCAGTGGACCTGTAACAGCAGCCATGAGGAGGCGGTACAGGGGCCCATGGGCAGGCAGATTAGGGGGCCTGGCAGCAGCTATGGGAGGCCCGTAATCTGCCAGCACCCTATGACAAAAAATGGAACACACCAGCAGTGTGAGGAGACCTGAAAGTGGCACATGGCAGAGTGTGGCGATGGAGACAGCAGCAATGGGAGGCTGCCGTACAGGGACCCATGAGAGACTCTGGACCTGGCAGCAGCATGAGGAGGCGGTACAGGGGCCCATGGCAGATTAGGGGCCTGGCAGCAGCTATGGGAGGCCCGTAATCTGCCAGCACCCTATGACAAAAAATGGAACACACCAGCAGTGTGAGGAGACCTGAAAGTGGCACATGGCAGAGTGTGGCGATGGAGACAGCAGCAATGGGAGGCCGTACAGGGACCCACATGAGAGACTCTGGACCTGGCAGCAGCATGAGGAGAGGCGGTATAGGGGCCCATGGCAGATTAGGGGCCTGGCAGCAGCTATGGGAGGCCCGTAATCTGCCAGCACCCTATGACAAAAAATGGAACACACCAGCAGTGTGTGAGGAGACCTGAAAGTGGCACATGGCAGAGTGTGGCGATGGAGACAGCAGCAATGGGAGGCCGTACAGGGACCCATGAGAGACTCTGGACCTGGCAGCAGCATGAGGAGGCGGTATAGGGGCCCATGGCAGATTAGGGGCCTGGCAGCAGCTATGGGAGGCCCGTAATCTGCCAGCACCCTATGACAAAAAAAATGGAACACACCAGCAGTGTGAGGAGACCTGAAAGTGGCACATGGCAGTGTGGCGATGGAGACAGCAGCAATGGGAGGCCGTACAGGGACCCATGAGAGACTCTGGACCTGGCAGCAGCATGAGGAGGCGGTACAGGGGGCCCATGGCAGATTAGGGGCCTGGCAGCAGCTATAGGAGGCCCGTAATCTGCCAGCACCCTATGACAAAAAATGGAACACACAGCAGTGTGTGAGGAGACCTGAGCAGTGTGAGGAGACCAGAAAGTGGCACATGGGACATGAACACTGTGGACCTGGCAGCAGCATGAGGAGGCAGTACAGGGGCCCATGGCAGATTAGGGGCCTGGCAGCAGCTAATGGGAGGCCCGTAATCTGCCAGCACCCTATGACAAAAAATGGACACACACCAGCAGTGTGAGGAGACCTGAAAGTGGCACATGGCAGAGTGTGGCGATGGAGACAGCAGCAATGGGAGGCCGTACAGGGACCCATGAGAGACTCTGGACCTGGCAGCAGCAGCATGAGGAGGCGGTACAGGGGCCCATGGCAGATTAGGGGCCTGGCAGCAGCTATGGGAGGCCCGTAATCTGCCAGCACCCTATGACAAAAAATGGAACACACCAGCAGTGTGAGGAGACCTGAAAGTGGCACATGTTGGGGGTGCATGATTCATGGCGGATTTAGTCAGTTGTGTCAGGAACTGGTGGTTTTAAATCCAGACTAATCCACGCCTGATTCATTTTCACAAACGTGAGTCTCTCCACACTTTGGGTGGACAGTCGTGTCCTCTCGCGGAGTTACAATACCTCCTGCTCCTGCCGCACTAAACACGCGCGCTCCCATGCCACGCTACTGGGGCCGGCAGCATGACAGCCTTTCAAGGGCAAATTCAGCTAGTTGGGGCCAAAGGTCAAGTTTCGTTGCCAGCCAGTAGTCAAGGGGATTGTCTACCTCGGTTGGCAGGGTGCTGTCCAAGTAGGCCCAAGCCTGTTGTTTGAGGTCCTGCTCCAGGTCCACCTGATGCTGCTGCTGCTGCTGCTGCGGCTGGTTAGCAGCTTCCCTCACTGCGCTGGTGAAGAAAGCTACTCATCATCGACTGCAGACTGAGGCAGACAGCCGCTGCTGGTGGAGCTGCCACTGCTCCTACCACCCCCACCCCTCCTTTGCTGCCATGGCAGCGGAACGCGAGCGCACAGGGCCCACAGTGTCTGAGGATGGACGTTGGCGCACAAAGGCAGAGACCAACTGACTACATAGGTGGTTTTTATAGTACGTTATTTTGGCCTCCCCTCAGCAGGTGTGAAAAAGGCCACCATTTTTGAACGGTAGCGATGGTCCAAACAAGGTGGACAGCAAAAGTCATCCCTCTGTCTGATGGTTATTATTCGGCTGTCGCTACGCAAGCAAGCGAGCATGCTATGGGCCATTTGTGCCAAGGAATGTGAGGGACTCCCTGCCTGCCATCTCCACAGCATACTGCACCTGCACGGTGCGTCTGGGTCCTCTGTCTCCTCCCAGATCCTCCTCCTCTACCAGATGCTATGCTCCTCCCCACTCCTGTCCGCTGAGTGGAAAAACCACCCATTTCACACTCAATAATTCCTGAGCACAAATGTCCTCCTCTACCTCCTCCTCTCTCTTCCTGTCCTGTCTGCCCACAGGGGGGTCATGTGGCGTTGAGATCTGTGCGCCACGTCTACCCGCACCCTGACCAGCCATTGTTAACAGCATTTGTTCCAGGACGTGCAACAGAGGAATGACGTCGTTCATCTCCCATAGTCCTGCCGACTCACGAATAGCGTGGCCTCCTCAAAGGGCCTGAGCAAGCGGCAGGTGTCACGCATGAGCTGCCAATGGCTGACATCGAAGTTACATAGGGGAGTACCTTTATCCTCTTGTAACATCATGAAAATCGGTGATGGCCTTTCGCTGTTCGTAAAGGCGGTCTACCATGTGTAGGGTTGAATTCCACACTTGTTGCAACGTCGCAGATCAGGCGATGCTGTGGAATTCCGTTCTGCCCCTGCAGCTCAAGGAGGGTGTGCTTTGCGGTGTAGGAATGGCTGAAATGCATGCAAGGTTTACGTGACATTTTAAGGATGTCTTGCAGTGGGATGGTGGATTTTAGGAACCGCTTGACAACCAGATTGAACACGTGAGCCATGCATGGCGCATGGCACAACCTTCCTTGATGCAGAGCAGACACCATGTTCTTTCCGTTGTCGGTCAACATGGTTCCGATTTTCAGTTTGCGCGGAGAGACAGCCATCTGTCGATTTCTCTGTTCATTACACTGAGAAGTTCCTCCCCTGTGTGACTACGTTCGCCTGGACCTGGCAGCAGCAGCATGAGGAGGCGGTACAGGGGCCCATGGCAGATTAGGGGCCTGGCAGCAGCTATGAGAGGCCCGTAATCTGCCAGCACCCTATGTCAAAAAATTGAACACACCAGCAGTGTGTGAGGAGACCTGAAAGTGGCATGGCAGAGTGTGGCGATGGAGACAGCAGCAATGGGAGGCCATACAGGGACCCATGAGACACTCTGGACCTGGCAGCAGCATGAGGAGGCGGTATAGGGGCCCATGGCAGATTAGGGGCCTGGCAGCAGCTATGGGAGGCCCGTAATCTGCCAGCACCCTATGTCAAAAAATTGAACACACCAGCAGTGTGTGAGGAGACCTGAAAGTGGCACATGGCAGAGTGTGGCGATGGAGACAGCAGCAATGGGAGGCCGTACAGGGACCCATGAGAGACTCTGGACTTCGCAGCAGCATGAGGAGGCGGTATAGGGGCCCATGGCAGATTAGGGACCTGGCAGCAGCTATGGGAGGCCCGTAATCTGCCAGCACCCTATGACAAAAAATGGAACACACCAGCAGTGTGAGGAGACCTGAAAGTGGCACATGGCATGAGACACTGTGGACCTGGCAGCAGCATGAGGAGGCAGTACAGGGGCCCATGGCAGATTAGGGGCCTGACAGCAGCTATGGGAGGCCCGTAATCTGCCAGCACCCTATCACAAAAAATGGAACACACCAGCAGTGTGTGAGGAGACCTGAAAGTGGCACATGGCAGAGTGTGGCGATGGAGACAACCCACCGACTGTTTTGCTCGCTGCCAAGCTGCCACCCTCTTCTCCTGATGATGCGGAAGCAATAGCCTGATGACGACGAGGCTGCCAAGTGCGATCAGCCTCATCATCATCAATTAGGGTCTCCGCCTCACTACTAGCCCCCTCGGCTGCGTGTGGTCAGGAGACAGACCTGTCTCTAGACCGGCTACCGAGCCACTCTCCTCGCCACTACTTCTTCGCCTGGCTGCTGAAGAGGCGGATGTCTCCCCCCGTTCCTGACCGCCCTCTGTTAGCTCTTCCTCACTGTACTGGATGACACCGGGAGCACTGGCCTCTGGCTGCGAATAGTGCTGCCTCGACCCCTTCCTCTGCTGCCACGTCTGCTCGCTCCTAAAACATTGCCTCCTCTGCCAGTCCTCTGCATGTTGTCTGACATACTCTTTAATTCAACGATTCTGTGTCCCTGAGTAACAATTCTGTGTCTGTCCCTGAGTAACAATTCTGTGTCCCTGAGTAACGTTTCTGTGGCCCTAAGTAATAGTTCTGTGGCCCTCAGTAACAATTCTGTGTCCCTCTAAGTAACAATTCTGTGTCTGTCCCTGAGTAACAATTCTGTGTCCCTGAGTAACAATTCTGTGTCCCTCAGTAACAATTCTGTGTCCCTCAGTAACAATTCTGTGTCCCTCAGTAACAATTCTGTGTCTGGCCCTGAGTAACAATTCTGTGTCTGTCCCTGAGTAATAATTCTGTGTCTGTCCCTGAGTAACAATTCTGTGTCTGTCCCTGATTAACAATTCTGTGTCCCTGAGTAACGTTTCTGTGGCCCTAAGTAACAGTTCTGTGGCCCTCAGTAACAATTCTGTGTCCCTCAGTAACAATTCTGTGTCCCTCAGTAACAATTCTGTGTCTGGCCCTGAGTAACAATTCTGTGTCTGTCCTGAGTAATAATTTCTGTGTCCCTGAGTAACGTTTCTGTGGCCTAAGTAACAGTTCTGTGGCCCTCAGTAACAATTCTGTGTCCCTCAGTAACAATTCTGTGTCTGTCCCTGAGTAACAATTCTGTGTCTGTCCCTGAGTAACAATTCTGTGTCCCTCAGTAACAATTCTGTGTCCCTCAGTAACAATTATGTGTCCCTCAGTAACAATTCTGTGTCCCTGAGTAACAATTCTCTGTGTCCCTCAGTAACAATTCTGTGTCCCTCAGTAACAATTCTGTGTCCCTGAGTAACAATTCTGTGTCTGTCCCTGAGTAAACAAATTCTGTGTCTGTCCCTGAGTAACAATTCTGTGTCCCTAAGTAACGTTTCTGTGGCCCTAAGTAACATTTCTGTGGCCCTAAGTAACGTTTCTGTGGCCCTAAGTAACGATTCTGTGGCCCTAAGTAACGATTCTGTGGCCCTAAGTAACGGTTCTGTGTCCCTTAGTAACAATTC